AGTTCAGGCCTATGACCAGACCCCCTCCCCCTCACATAAAAAAAAGAAACAGATTCTTTTTAAGTTCTATCTACCATCCTCAAAACAAAATTATTCTGCCACTGATATTTTTTATTGGTTGTGGGGCTTGAACTCTGGCCTGGGCCCAGAGTCCCAGAGCTCTTCAGCTCAAGGCTAGTGTTCTTACCACTTGAGCCACAGTGATACTTCTGGTTTTCTGGTGGTTAATTGGAGATAAGAGTCTTACATATGTTTCTGCTGCCTGGGCTGGATCTGAACCATGATCCTCAGATCTTAGCCTCCTATGTAGCTAGGATTACAAGTGTGAACCACTAGCACTCAGCTTCTACCAATGAAATTATATATATATATATATATATAGCTATATTATATGGCTATATATTATAGCTAATATTATACAGCTATAACTAGACTTTTCTGAGAGGTGGTTTAAGAAATTCTGATTAGCAGGCTTGTTTTTAAGGGGCTGGAGGCATGGTTGGTAGAATGCCAGTCAATTAGCAAAAGTGTCAGGCAGTGACTTGAAGTCCCAGTTTCCAACCAAAAAAATAAGGTTAATTTTAGAACTATAAACATTTATTTTGAAGAAAGAATATCCTGAATCACCTATCTCAGGTGACAAAATAAACTGCATGTTTTATACTTTATTTCTGAATGTTTTTTTAAGAATAACCAGATGTGAGCAAAAATCACACACATATATATATGTATGTTATGATTATGTGTATTATGAATGTTGACAGACATTGGTAATGAGTAGAAAAAGAAATAAAAGGGGGCTGGGAAGGTGGCTCAGTGGTAGAGCGCTTGCCTTGCATGCCTGAGGCCCTGGGTTCGATTGCTCAGCACCACATAAGCAAAAAGAAAAAATGCCAGAAGTGGCGCTGTGGCTCAAGTGAGTGGTAGAGCACTAGCCTTGAGCTGAAGAGCTGAAGGACTGCGCCCAGGCCCAGAGTTCAGGCCCCACGACTGGACCAAAAAAGAAAAAGAAATAAAAGGGACAATACTTCCTACAGTGTGAATGGATTTAGATGAATAATGGTAGAGGACAATCATTATTTCTGCATTGTTGGTATATAACATTTTATTTTATTTATTTATTTATTTTAGGGTCCGGTCGTGGAGCCTGAACTCTGGGTCTGGGTGCTATCCCTCAGCTCTTTAGCTCAAGGCTAGCGCTCTACCACTTGAGCCACAGCACCACTTCCGGCTTTTTTCTTTTTGCTTATGCGGTGTTGAGGAATCGAACCCAGGGCCTTAGGCATGCAAGGCAAGTGCTCTACCACTGAGCCACCTTCCCAGCCCCCAAATTTTAAACTGTTTAGGTCAGCAAAATCAGTTCACACAGTATATTACCATAAAACTAAAACAGTATTTAAACATTCTGTTTTAAAAGCCAGCCAGGAGAAGAAAGTCTGACTTTTTTTTTTTTGTCGTTCTTAGGGCCTGAACTCTGGGCCTAGGCTCTGTCCCTCAGCTCTTCAGCTCAAGGCTAGCACTCTACCACTTGAGCCATAGCACCACTTCCAGCTTTTTCTGCTTATGTGGTACTGAGGAATCAAACCCAGGGCCACGTGTATGCAAGGCAAGCACTCTACCACTGAGCACCTTCCCAGCCTGTAAGACTGATCTCCAATTAACCACCAGAAAACTGGAAGTAGCACTGTAGCTCAAGTGGTAGAGGGCTTGCCTTGAGCTAAAGAGTCCAGACCCAGAGTTCAAGCCGCATGACCAACAAAAAATAAAAAATAAAAAAATTGTTTCAACAGGATAAATATATTTTTTGTGGTCCATGCCAGGCAAGTACTCTACCACTTAACAGTATATACCTCTAACTACATGAAAAATATTAGTAGTACATGGAGTACATTATATTTCTTTAAAATCTGTATTTTCTATTTTCAAAGATTTAAAAATCATTTACAAAAAAATATGCTTCTAGAGCAGGGTACTGACAGCTTATGCCTGTACTCAGAAGGCAAAGATCCATAGATCATGGTTAGAAGCCAGATTGGGCAGAGAAGTCTATGAGACTCTCACCAAAAAGCTGGAAGGAGAGATATGGTTCAAGTGGTAGAGTGCCAGCTTTAAGCAAAAAGGCTAAGAGACAGTGCCTAGGCCTTGAGTTTAAACAAATCTCTCTCTCTTACACACACACACACACACACACACACACACTTAAATATACCATACCTGGAAATCTACAGCTCTTTTGTTTGCTAGATCAGCCTTGTTTCCTGATAAGGCTATTACAATGTTAGGACTTGCTTGCCTCTGAAGTTCTTTAACCCAGTTTTTCGCTCTTGCAAAAGACTCCTATTTAAACAAAGGAAAAGGTATTGGCGTAGGGTAAAAAATGGTTATGAAGCATCTGTGTGAGAGAGGCTTTTATAAATACTTCCTAAAGGCAACCCTGAAAAGGAAATTACACCATTTGAAATACTTCCATATTATAATTTTACTTGCAAAGCTTTGGCTATCAAAATTAATTTTTAAAAATCTCTAATCAATTCTTTTTTTTCTTTTTGCCAGTCCTGAGGCTTGAACTCAGGGCTTGGGCACTGTCCCTGAGCTTCCTTTGCTCAAGGCTGGCACTCTACCACTTGAGCCACAGTGCTACTTCTGGCTTTTTCTGTTTATGTGGTACTGAGGAATCGAACCCAGGGCTTCATGTATGCTAGGCAAGCACTCTACCAGTAAGCCACCATCCCAGCCTCTGATCAATTCTGAATTGGATCTTCAAACTAGCCTCAGGGTAATACTTACCTCATTTGTGATATCATACACAACTATGGCTGCTTGTGCTCCTCTGTAGTACATTGGTGCTAGGCTATGGTATCTCTCTTGACCAGCTGTATCCCATATTTCAAACTTTACTGTTGTGTCATCAAGACACACAGTTTGGGTTAGAAAAGCAGCTGAAAGCAGAAAACATCTGTAATAAGTTTATCATTTATGCTCAATGTTTTCACATCAGAAAATACCTGGAAAACTTGATATACTGCATGCCTAGTTAATACAGGCTTTAAGTAAATACAAAAACAGGTGCTTCAAACCAGATATATGCCTTCATACAAGACCTGTGCAGTACAATTTAAGACTGTTATAATATTAAGCCAGTCTAAGTCCCCATTTCTATATTGCTCTACAATTTATTAAGTTCACACATACTGATATTCCTGAAAAAAAATGCAGTCAGCCTTTTGTATCCGTGGATTCAACCGAACATATGACAAAAATACTTAGCTGAAAGTTGTTTCTGTACTGAACATGTATAGAGTTTTTCATTTTTCACTAACAATTATAATATAATTATGTAACATTTCTATCGAATTAGGTATTGTAAGTGATCTAGAGATGACTTCAGTATATGGGAGGCCACACAGAGGTTATGTGTAAACACAGTGCCAATTTATAGGAAGGATTTGAGCACTTGCAGGTTTCTGTATTTCCAGGGGAAGCATATCTCCTGAAACTAAACCCACCAGAAACCTAACCATGAGTACATTTCTTAAAACATCTATACTGATGACACAAAGCTCTGTTGCATTTGTTTGTTCTGGCATATTTTAGTGATTGAGACCCAGTTCATATTTGTTACATTATCTTTTAAAATGTAATAATACTGCCAATTACCATTATTTCAACATAGAGCTTATATAATTTGAATTTGTTCAATAGATTCCGTATTTCTTCCTACTGTTCTCATATTTTGTCCTAAGAATTTTCTTTTTCTATGCTTTTGAGTCTAAGTTCAACACAAAGAAAGTACCGAAAGTATCATTTTAGAATGATCCTTTGTTAAAAGATCTGCGTAAATTCAATTAACAGAGTAAAGACATGAAATGTAGAAAAATGGGCTGGGAAGGTGGGTAGAGTGCTTGCCTTGTATGCATGAGGCCCTGGATTCAATTCCTCAATACCACATAAGCAGAAAAGGCTGCAAGTGGCGCTGTGGCTCAAGTAGTAGAGCGCTAGCCTTGAGCTGAAGAGCTGAGGGGCAGTGGCCAGGCCCAGAGTTCAGGCCCCACAACCGGCAAAAAAAGAAGGAGGAGAAGGAGAAGGAGAAGGAGAAGGAGGAGAAGGAGGAGGAGGAGGAGGAGGAGGAGGAGAAGGAGAAACAAACAAACAAACTAGCCACACAAAGGGACTGAGTTCAGTTCAACAGCATGTGTGAGACCTTGGGTTCAGTTACTAGCAACATCCTCCGGCAAAAGACTCACACAATTTTAGCAGCTTGCAGCCACCTTGCCTAGTAATTTCTCCTATCAACTCTAGTACTGAGGACAATTCTTTGGCCCTATCACTCCTCCTTTCAGCTAAAGTGTGATACTCAAATCCTTTCCTAAACTAACTCATGAAGAATAATAATCTCTTTGTCCAAACTGTACCAGTGTATCAAGTTTTGCCAAATGTAAACCATGGACGTAATTCCTTTCTATCAGTTTATAGTGTTATAGAGAGGATGATTCTATTCTTATATGACCACATATATAACATTTTAAATGTTATTATTTAGGTCAACTGGTTTAGTACCAAGGAGGTACAATCATCTGAATTTTCAAACATTAAAGCTGGAAATGTCTTTGACCTAGATTCTATGAATTCATACAGTGAATCTCATTTTAAATATATCTTAGTTAGGTTCAAACTTGCAATTTCTAAATAATATCAGCAGAAATATCTATTTCCTAAGACTCTGAAACTTATATTAAATGATACTAATGAAAAGTTCTTGTGGAATAAAAATACCCCCCCTCTCCCCCCGCCTGCCACTCTTCATTGTTGCCAGTCCTGGAGCTTGAGCTCAGAGCCTTAGAGCTATCCCTGAGCTTTTGTGCTCAAGACTAGTGCTCTACCACTTGAGCCACACACTATTTATGGCTTTTGGTTGGTTAACTGAAGATGAGTCTTATGACTTTCTTGCGTAGGTTGGCTTTGAATGATGATCCTCAGATCTCAGCCTCCTGAGTAGCTAGGACTATAGACAGAAGCCTGAGGCACTAGCTTAAAAAATAAATTTCAAACACCTAAAATTATAGTGGTACACATTTATAACCCTGAACTGGGAGGCTGAAGAAAGAGAAACCTGAGTTTCAGGCTATCTTGAACTATTTAAGAGTTTCAGACTACCCTGGGCTACATAATGACACACTATATCTCAAAACAAAACAAAACAAAAAACCCTCAAACCCAACAACCATGACTAATACTAAATCCTTGAAACTGTTCCTTTTCCAAAAAACAAAGAAAGAAAAGATGACTTTATCACAAACAAAACTTACAAGTATAGTTTGATGCAAACTTAGACAAACCTAATTAAAATTTATAGTAAGACTTTGCTTTCTCTTTTAGATATAGTATGACCACAAACTACAGTAGTAATAAAATATCTATGTCAAAATTTATATTTCTATAAAATCAGTTCATGTCTCAGGAAAGCAATTATTAGTTATTCTGCCCTTAAAAGAAATATTGGGGGAAGGGGGGACGGTAAGAGAAAAATAGGGGGTAACAATGTTCAACAAATGTACTCATTACCCCTCTATCTGTATAGCATCTTCACAATATAATTTTTTTTTTAAAGGAAAAGAAAAAAAAGTCTGTCAGACTCTTATCTCCAATTAACCACCAGGAAATTGGGGCAAAAAAGCTCAGGAACAGCACTGAGGCCCTGAGTTCAAGCCCCATGACCAACCCCCATTCCCACCCCCCCAAAAAAAACAAGAAAGAAAGATATACGGCTTGACTCTCTGTCCAGTTATAAAGACCATTCGTCTTTATAAATGTATGAACAAAAAATGCCAAATAAGCCGAGTGTTAGCAGTTCACATCCTTGCTATTCAGGTTGAAATCTGAGGATTGTGTTCATCTCCAACCAACCATCAGAAAGCAGAGGTGTGGCTCAAGAGGCAGAGCTCCAGCCTTGTGCGAAGAGAGTACAAGGTCCAGAATTTAAGGCCTAGTATTGCCATGTGCATGTCACAGACATAAAAATACAGGTATTAACAAAACCGTTTATTAGTATGTTTTTTTCCATAAGTATAGATTACACTAGCAGAATAAAAAATCACTTTACCAAATTATAAAAAAGCAGGATAATCAATATTTAATCCTAATAAACACAGATTTCTTAGTTTTAGCACATATCACCCCAAACGTAGTATTATGAATAACAACAAAGCTCTTGGGTATTCTCTACGAATCTCAGAACAAAACAAGAATGTCCACTATCCATATCATTTCATATATCCCTTATAATATTAAAAACAAGCATTATTTGAAAGCATGAGTGTCATTTAAATCCAAATGTTAAATACGTTCTTTAAATTGGCTAGAATAGACAAATAACTAGGTACAATTTTAGAAGGGGAAAGAATCCCAGTCAGATCACAAAAACAATTCATTAAATTTCTGTTGTCAACTTCATTCCACTTAAAAATTCTCTGCCATCCACCCTAGTTGTCATCTCCTCTTGGTCCTCCTAAAAGCTCCCTGTGTAAATATGGTTCACATTAATGATTTAGGCATCTTTTCCTATACTTGAAGAGTTCCTTGAGAAAAACATCTACTAGCTCTTCTCTATAACCAGCATCCTAGTTCGTACAGGATTTAAACATGTCTGCTAGGAAGTTTCTAGAGCTTGTGGACCAATCCGGGTCACATAATAGTAAAACTCTTATCTCTAAAGTCAGCATATGGAACCATTTAAAAGCTATTTTACCTAATGCCTAAATAGAGAGCTCATAAATGGAATAGTTACTCCAAAATGATTCTGGTTCAAGTTACCTTTAATCTAAAACTCTGAAATGTGAAATGCTCTAAAAATCTAATTTTATTTTAAGAGCATAGAGACAATATCAAAATAGACAATACCACATGATGATACCTTATTTCAGTACTAAATTGAAAATAAAAAAAATTACCTTAAGGCTAAATACATAAAGATGTTATATAAATGAATTCAGGGTTTAGATTTAGGTTCTAAAAAGGTATCTCATTATGTGTATGCAAGTATTTTAAATTAATCCATAATCTAAAATACTTCTGGTTCCAAGCACTGGAATAAGAGATGTAACACAATCTCAAACAAATACATCATTTGTGTGGATGTTCTGGTCCTGAGGTTTGTACTCAGGGATTCGGTGCAGTACCTGAGCTTTTTTTGCTCAAGGCTAGCAACTCTACTACTTGAGCAAGCAGCTCTACTTCTGGACTTTTGATGGCTAATTGAAGATAAGAGTCTCACAGACTTTGCTGCCTGAGCTGGCTTTGAACCGAGATTTTAGAACTCAACCTCCTAAGTAACTAGGATTACAGACGTGAACCACCGGACACCCGTCTATCATATTCTTCTAGGAAGAAGAAAAAGACCAACATGGCACCAAAACTGTATTAGAATATATAAAAATACATATTACAATAGCACAAAAAAGATGGAAGTATTACCAGAACATGTCAGCTCTGAATAAGATTGTGCTATATATAATATATTCTAAGGCCTTACTGTATTGTAATTTCTCCCCTAAATTTTAGTAAAAACTTTAAATTCTTAGTACTTCTAAAAAACATATTAGTCATTCATAAAATCAAAAAAAATTCTGCTACTCAAATATAAACTACTTCATCAGTATTGTGCAACATTAACCAACCACAAACTTACCTGAATCTGCAAAACCACTTTAATTTATCCAAAACGTCTATTTTCTGGCTAAGAACCATCACTTTCTTAAGACCTCTTCATTTTCTCTTCACTTCCTTCCATCACCATCACTAGCAGTTGGTGTTCTTTTCGGGCCCACATTTCACAAAGAAACATCTTTTATCACTTCGAGAGTTACTGTGCACTCGACGACAAGTAGAGAAAAACAAAGCTGCGTTGAGATGCAGGTGCAGGCCTGTCTAATAGACTCCCTCT